TGCTGAAGCTTCAGCATGCTCGATATCTATCCACTCGTTATTCAAGGCAACTAGCACCTTGTCTTTCAGCGTGAGAACGTCCTGCTGGCGGTGCCTAAAAAAGGACTTGATACGAGCGTGAGAACCCTCTGCTACTGATGTAATACTATAAGTATAGTCAGTCTGATTCAGTGCGTAGAGAGTTATATAAATACTCACTAAGTATCAAAGTGATGGTGGCGATTAGTCCATACCTGGCACCACTGCTCCTTCAGGGGCACCCACTGGTTGCGAACATAGTCGATCAGGGCTCCCTGCTCGGCGTAGTCGTCCTGAAAGGCGGCCCAACGCTCGTCCCATTCAGCTACGCTACGGGCTATAGATAACTCGAAGAAACGCTTCTTACAGTCGTCCCGGGCGATATCGATATCAACACCTTCTTCAGCAGTCTCCTCTGCGCCGTGTGCCCACGCCTGATCGATCCTTATACTGACATTCTTGGCAATATGCCATCTGCAGATGATATGTGGGATGCCGGGAAAGTACTACTATAGAGCACCTTTCAGTGCCAAATCGCAGTCAGTAACGAAGATGGTTGGCAGAGAGCCAAGAAGGTGTGTTTTTAGGCGTTCAATAGCCCATGCGTACTCAGCAGCGCCCTCTCTTGCTATTAGGCAGTACCCAATAACGAAAGAACGTCCTGAAGGGGTCTTGCCGACGATGTGAAGTAGTGGAGTACCCTCAAGGTTCGAGTTATACGTGCAGTCGAGCATGATAACTTGGCTCCAGCGCTGCTGGAGCTTCAGTGAACGCTTATGTGCCCAGAACACGAGATGGGCCGGAGCAGGGCCCTCTCCATCCTTAGTATCCAGCTTGTAGTCGTAAACCCATTCATAACTGTCCTGAAACTCCTTCACCATCCGCTGAATGGGTGTAAGGCCGCCAAGGCGTAGCAGCTTCAGTTTATACCGGTAGTTCTTAATATCAGAGGCCAGAGTGATATCAGAAGGATCGCTGTGGTATAACTGAGCACGTATTTGCTTAGGGTGACTGGCAACGCTGAGGGTCTCGATCTACTGCTTTTTTGCAGCAGTTAGCTTGCGGTGATATGGGTGGGCGATTGGACTGATGAATGGAGCATGGTTATGTATGCCAGTGCTTTCAACTCTGTAGCGTCCGTCTACAAGCCGAATAGCAATCTTAAAGGGGCAGCCAGTGGCCTTCGTGCCTGTAGTCTTGCGTTGAACAGCTTAGCTTGTATAGGCACCGACCCTGTCACATTCAAGGCGAATTTTCGTTATAGTGCCGTCAACCCGAGCTTTCGTGCCTCTGTCGCGCATCCCATAACCGTGTTCTCGAG